TGCCTTCAGAGATGCTGGAGCTGATGGTGTTGGGGGTTGGACCACAGACAGGACATTTTGGAGGAAGGGAGCATCCCCAAACCCTTAATGAGCCTTCGTTAGCGGGGGAAGAGGAGAATGAGAACTGACCCGGCCACATGGGAAGGCATTGGTCCCCATCCCACCACCCAGCACCACCAGCTTCTCCCCAGGCTGCTCCCCACCCCATGGTGGGTGCGAAGAGACACGGTGGTGGCTTCAGGGATATTTTTTTTTCCACCCAAATTTTGCCCAGATGTTTTTCCAGCTCTGGCATTTCCAGCCACCTCTGGCTGGAAGCCCCCAGTCCACCCACCGACCTCCAGCCAAAGCCCGGAGTGGCCGCTCGCCCCCCACATTCCTGGGGACACATGTTTTGGATGGAGGTTTCACCCATCGTGGTCCTCAGTGCTGGAGAAGGGCTGGAGAAACCTCTTCTTCCAGGGAGAGCATCCCTGACCTGCCCCATCTCAGCCAGCCTCTCCTGCAGCTCCAGGTTTATCTGTGTTTGTCCCAATTAGGTGTTTTTTGGGCTCTCGGGGTTACAGCTCCCCCAGGACCAATCCAGGAGGAACCTTCTCAGCACCAAAGGCTGCGGCAGACACGATGGCTGCTCCCTCTGAGGATGCTTTTTGCCCCTTTCCCTGCACGGAGCACGAGGAGACTCTGCTTTTCTCCACGTCCTGCTTCTCCTCCCCTGCTGAGGGACCAACCTCTCATCACTGGGTTTGCTGCTGGGGGTGTCCCCGCTGTCCCCCAAGGCTTGTGGCCACCAGCATCCCTTGGTGCTGAGCCCTGTGTCCACCTTTGCCACATCCTCATCCTCCTGGGGGCCCTGTCAACCCCAACCGCGCCATGGGACACCCCCCGCCTTGGGACAGCAGCAGGTGATGGAGACACCAAACCCCTGGATGGATGTTCTCCCAGAAAACATGTTCCTTCCTCACCCCAGATCTGGAGCCCCTCTGCTGGGAGGGGGGGCTGGGAGAGTTGGGGGGTTCAGCCTGGAGAAGAGAAGGCTCCGGGGAGACCTTGAAGCCCCTTCCAGTCCCTCAAGGGGCTCCAGGAGAGATGAGGAGACTCTGGATCAGGGAGGGGAGCCACAGGAGGAGGGGTACGGAACTGTGCACAGACCCCAGGACAGGACAGCGGGAAGGACAGCGGGACAACAGGCAGTGGTGCAGGCTTTGGAGCAGGCAGGACAGGAGGACAGCAGGCAGCAGAGCAGGTAGGACAGCAGGCAGGACAGAAGGACAGGACAGAAGGACAGCAGGCAGCAGTGCAGGCAGCAGAGCAGGCAGGACAGAAGGCATTGGAGCAGGCAGGACAAAAGGGCAGAAGGACAGCAGACAGTGGAGCAGGCAGGACAGCAGGACAGCAGAGCAGCCAGGACAGAAGGACAGCAGACAGCAGAGCACGCAGGACAGAAGGACAGCAGGCAGGACAGAAGGACAGCAGGCAGCAGAGCAGGCAGGACAGCAGTGCGGGCAGGACAGGAGGACAGCAGGACAGCAGGCAGGAGTGCAGGCAGGACAGCAGGAGTTCAGGCAGGACAGAAGGAC